GTCATGTTGGCTTTGAACTCACTGTGTGGCTCAAACTTAATGGCAATCGTTCTGCCTCACTGAGTGCTGGGATTAGAGGAATCTCCACCAAGCATGGCTGTTAAAACAAAATGTTATGCAGAATTGATCAAATTCTTCCCATTTTCTAGAGTGAGGAAGGTAAAACTCAAGCACAGGCCAAGTAGTTCGGTTGATGTGTTATGCAGCTACTTGGGAGCAGAGTAGAAATAAAGGCCAGTTACCTAGGCTAAGCCTAGTGTTTTTATGTTAAAATTGAGAAAGAGAACATTTGTCCTGGTGTTCACATCCTCACAGTAGAAAGGAAGCACAAAGGATGCTAGGCTGGGAGTCAGACCTGAGTTTTATTCCTGGCTCTGCCAATGGTAAGTTTTGTTTGTCCAGAAAAGTCACTTAAACTGCTCTGAGACAGTTTCCTCCTTTGGAAAATGGGGATAATCAGCCAGGTGTGGTGATGCACGCCTAAGATTCCAGTACTTGGGAGGCTGAGGCAGGATTGACATTACTTTTGAGGCCAGCCCAGGCTTTATATACTTAGTGAGCTCAAGGCCAGGCTGAACTATATATCAAGACCTTGTCTCAAAAACAATCAAACATGGAGATAATCATCTCTGTCCTACCTGCCTCGTAGGATTGCTGTGAGAATTAGATGACAGCAGTATGTGAAAATGATTACAATGGTTAATGTTTAGTGGTGGGGCTCCTGCTGCTGTCGCACTTGGCAAAGTCAAGACTGTGGACTTAGTTCCTGTTATTTTCCAGGCAGAATTTTCTGAGCTCAACCTGGTGGCCCGTGCAGATGGGACCTACGCTGTGGACATGCAGGTGCTTCGGAATGGCACAAAGGTTGTCCGGTAAGGGCCCTTCTGTCCTTCTATCCTTGGGGTCACTGTCATGCTCTCCCCTTCTAGCCTGAAGAGCTAGTTTTAAAGTCAAGCATTCCAGTGAGATGACAGTGCTACATATGGGGCTCAGAACTTAAATGGTGTGTGTTGCGTGGAAGTGGGAGGGAAGGCAGCTCTCCTGCCTTCAAGGAGCTCTCCATCCAGTGGTAAAGAAACCAATTTTAAGTTGCAAGGACACAGAGCTCACTTAGAGGTAATCAGAGTATGGACTCCTGCCTTCCTCCCTCTCAGTCAGTGTGGGTCTGTACTTTTCTCTCTCTACATTTCTCCTGGGAGACAAAGTTCCACTTCTTTTAAGTTTGAAATCATCTGATCTAGTCCTACCTTTTCATTTTACAGTGATGTGCTTAGATTTCCCTGAGGGACTTGGTGACAGAATCCTGTGTTCTATGTGAGTTCTTTTGACTCTCAGCTCAGTATTTTTCCTATATTCTTCATTTCTAGGGACTCCTAAGTCTGAGAGAAAAACCTAGGGTTAGAACAGACTTTCTAGATAGGAGGGAACTAGTAGTTATTGAACACTTCCATGGTCTTATGTTGGGGGCCTTATACATGGGATATTATTGTACACACAAGAGTTCTTGAAGGAGATAATGAGAATTCCAGGTGGGGAAACGGTCTGAACAATGCTGTTCTCAGGAGCTCAGTCATGTTCTAGGAGGTGGCTCTACTTCACCCTGCTCTCCACTTCAGTCTGTAGTACCCTGACCCTAAGGAGTTCAGTGTCCAGGAAGTCAGGGACAGGGAAGGCCAGGGGATGTATGGGACCTACCAATAGGAAGTATGAGTTTATCCATTCTGAAGACTAAACACCAGGAGGGAGAGATGCAGGGAGAGAGACAGACAGACAGACCCTCCCAGGTGAGAAGTGAGCCTCACAACAGAGACTGGACAGGTTCCTCCAGCTCTGTCTTGGAGACACACACACAGGAGGTGGTGACAGAAAAGCTTAGTAGCAGGGTGCCTGGAGGGATCTGGCAAAAGTAAGGCAGCCCTTATGGGTGCCCAGCACAGAAACTTGAGGGCTGGCCGCAAGTCTAGAGCTCCATTCCTATATTGGGAGGTGAGGCTGGAATTTGACCTCGGGCATACAGCTAGAGGTTTCCAGCATCCATCAGGACCTGGGCAGTAACAGGAAAGGCCTAGGGAGATGGTTGGAGCAGCCCACACAGGTATCATGATGCTAGTCCCTGAGCAACTAAGGAGATCTCCTTCAGTCCCCACTTTGTGGAAAGCCTTGTCTCCACATCACACTGTGCACGTGTGGACACTCAGTGAAGCTCGTGATTTTGTACAGTTGATATGTACTCATTATTATAATTTTAAAGATCTGATCCCTGGACCTGCGTGGGGCTGGGTCTGTAGGTGGGGATTTGGTGGGTTCCCCAGGCAGAGAGCCAGGTAGGTCACTGCCCTGAGCCTCAGAGCCTGGAGCAAGATGCTGCCATAAACTGCCTTTCTGGGAAGGCCTCCGAAGCTAAGATGGCCCTGGCCCTGTGGAGCAGCCATGACTAGGAGCTTTGCTGGCTACATGTGAGCCAGGGAAGCTTTCCCGTGCATGGGAACATTCTGTACTTGCAGTGCTTCCTGCAGCCATTGCTCAACCTCAGTTCTGCGAAAAATATTTGCACCACTCCCTAGCGTCCGCTTTGGAAGAATAACGTTGGGAAGTCTGGCATCTGCTCTCTGCCAGGCTTGGCCCCATGCCCTGCAGGGGCCTGATGAGAGCATTGCCTATTTTAAGGAGCAGCTTTAAGGAGTAGAAACAGGATGGAGATCAGAGACCTCACGGCAGTGTGGTGTGGGCAACCTCACATGCTGCCTTCAGAGCTCCTAGGGCAGCTTTGAGCACCAACTCTGGAGCCACATAGAGCTCCAGACTCTCATGCTGCCACACGAGGATAGGAAACATCTTTTTACTTAGGCGTGAGAGTCTAAAAGTGTTTCTTCCCACCTGAGAATATTAAAGCTTGGCACAAAAGAGTAGGAAATTTCAGAAATATGTTCCTCAGATTTTCTTTGGAAAGTACCATAATGCTTGATATCCCAGTCCAGAAACAATAATAATAAAGTGAGGGTCATGACTAGGTGATCCCTGGCGTCTCCTCTCTGTCGTGAGCTGTCAGAATGGGAGACAAAGTAGTGGATGACCTGAGCTGTGACTGATGGAAACCCTGCCTCTGCATTCTTACCAGGTCTTTCCGCCCAGACTTTGTGCTGGTCCGGCAGCATGCCTTTGGCATGGCCGAGAACGAGGACTTCCGTCACCTGATCATTGGCATGCAGTATGCAGGCCTCCCCAGTATCAACTCCCTGGAATCCATTTACAACTTCTGTGACAAGCCCTGGGTGGTGAGTAAGGGCCCCTTCCCCCAGGAAACAGTGGGCCCCAGGCCCTGCATTCCCAGCCCCCCAGGAGGGACTGCTGCTACTCGACTGGTAGGCACCAGCTGAGAGGCTGTGAGGGGAGCTCTGGCTGGGACATGGGACAGAGTGGCCTGTCACAGCAGCATGTCACCATGTCAACGTGTTCCTCAGGCTGGCACCTTTGCCGCAGAGTACACCTTTGGCCTCTGTGAAGAGGTCCTTACCCCAAAGAAAGGGTTTGGGGGCTGGTCCTTACAGGTCTGCAGGCTCTGCCCTGAACTGTTGGCTGTGGTGATAACAGAGTTTGATTCTTGCCTCTTGGATGGATGGCTTAACTCTTGGAAAAGCCTCTCTCTCAGTGGGGACTGAGAGGACAGTTTAACTCTGAGGGGTGTCAGTGGCAGAGTTCCATCGAGTTGTTCAACAGCAAGTGAAGTTTATCCACTACGGTATGTATGAATCAGATACCTAGATGAGCTGGAAGATCACTGATCTCGCCTTGTCATGTAGGGTGTGAAAATTAAAGAGATAAGGTAAGGAGTATAAAAGCGCTTACTGTATGGTGTATACTTTGAGAGTTTCCCACATTCATATTGCATCCTCATGATAACCTTATAAGGAAGGTATTATTTTCATTTTTTACAGAGAAACAAAACCCAAAAAAGACTAAATAACTTGCCAAAATTATAGAGCCTGAGTTTCTGTAGCTCACACTACCTCTTTTATAGTTTGGGTTACAGGGTGAGGAAAAGCTGGTCTGGCTTCCTCTTCCTCAGCCAGTCTGGTAATCTGGGAGGGCGATGGGAACTTCTAGACATGGGAAGGAGTGGAAGAGCGCAGATGGGAGGAAGAGTGATCTGAGGCCCTGCTGGGCACTCTGGCTTCCTCTTAGGGCTCTGCAGGGACCCAGCTCACACTGCTTCTGCTGCTCCAGGCTGGCCCCTTGGAAGGAAATGCCTGCCCCTAATCACATCTCTTCATCTTGATTTTCAAAACTCAGATTTCAGCTATCGTAAAAGCTGGACTGACGAGGTTCCTAGCACTGGTGGCTAATTGTGAAGTTTTTGAACCCCAGGCCTGTTCACCATTCAAGGAGTTGGTGTTTTTGTGTTTGTTTTTGATTTACTGGGCAGATCCAGCACCTCTGCTCTTGGTCATTTTTGATACCTCATTGGACAGCTTTCTAGTCCTGCATCACAGGGGGACCTTACAGTGTAGAGAAAGAGCAGGGAACAGGAGTGAGAGGGTCCCAGAGCTGCCAAGTTAAGGAGGGGTTGGGCTCCTGTTTCCCTACTTATGGCACAAGGCATCTGGAGTCCTAGAGTTCACAGAAACAGGAGAAAAGCATTGTGTGATGGCAGTGTATCACTTGGGACCTTTACCAAATGCCTTTCCTGGTGACCTCCCCTTTTTCCTCCTGCGCATGTGTGCTTACTCCTGACCCCCAGCCCTTGTCTGAATTGGGCTCCTTCACAGCCATACAGGGCAATGCTGCTATTCTGTTTTTTTTTTTCTGGGTGATTTCGCTTCTTTACCAGCCTTTTGACTGAACTACTCAGTGCCAGTTTCTTGGTCCACAACTTGGGATCACTAGTATACCTGCCACCACTTCACCAGCCTGGTTGTTAAAGCTCCCAAATAGCCAAGATCTCTTAAAAACAAACTAGTTTCCTGTGCTCTTTTCCTAAACTGTGAACAGAGGCCAGAGAGGGGGGGAGCAGGCAGGACCCCGCCTAGGGCCTTGCCCCTCCTGAGACCTGGGATCTGGTGAGGGGTTACTCGCACCATTCACAATCTGTCATGTTGCCTTTTGTCAATGTATGAGAACAGCAGCTTTCCCTGGCCACACACACAGTTCTCTGTTTCACTATACTGATGACCCACAAATGACATTTTACATGTTGTTCTCTACTGTTAAGGGAAGTGGACACATTTGATGCCTGTGGAGGGAGGGTGCCTCTGAGATGGCAGCTTGGGCTCCTAACTTTGTTACTGTGGCTGCTCGTGGTGTGAGAAGAGGCCTCCGTGGGTTGAAAGAGGCTCTGCCTTGCCACCAGCATGTCACATCTTACACATTTGTGGCGGAGCAGATCTGCTTTGTCTGGAATGGTCAGCACAGGTCACTGAGATTGCAGAAGCAGAAGTGGCCTGTCAATGAAAGCCACATTCCGGAGAGAGCAAGATGCCACCACCCATACGGCTGCAAATTTATCTAAATTCCTGTCGGGCTTTCTGGGGTTTTGGAGACAGATGAACCGGGGTTAAATGAAAGCCTTTAACTTCCAGGAGAGGTAGAGATAATGTATTATTCAAACTGATCTTGAAATCTCATTTCATCCATGAATTCTTTCTTAATTCACTGAATAAGTGGTTATAATGAGCTTATCTTTCTATTCATTGCCAAGAGCACCCCCAGCTTCCAACTCATTCTTTTGTCTGTGGGTTCAGGAAATAGCCCTTATCAGATATTACATTTTAAAAATTGGTAACTGTGTACCTGTGAGTTAATCTAAGTTCCAGGGGGCAGAGGTTAGATGCCAAGCCTAGCACTTGAGAAGACAGGGACTGCTGGATATCAGGTGAGGAGGATGGACCCAACTAGAGCCTGGGAACTGGCTGTCATTTTAGTCTTGGCTGTCCCAGGGCCCTGGGAGTCTGCCGCAGGCCTTCCTGGCATCTGAGTGGTGTCTGTGTAACTCCCCCACATGAGGGAAGATAGGGCCTATATGCCTGGTGCTGTGCCAGTGTGTGGGCTGCAGCAGGACAGAGGTCGTCCACAGAGCTGGCATCAGTACCCAGGGATGCTGAGAGCGCTGGGAGCCTGGGCAGGGCAGGCGTCCAGCCAGGCCCAGGTGGGCAGGCAGATCCTAAAGGTCGGACGAGGTGGTGGGAAGAGCTACAGAAGACTCACATGGTCTGAGTGCTCAGTCTTGACAGCCAAAGGAAAGCGAAGAATGGTGAGGACAGCAGGGTCCAGTGCAGGATGCACTGGGTGATAGAAAAGAATTGGTGCTCTCCTGGAAAGCCCTGCTACCAGGTGGGATCTGGGAGCTGCACTTTCCTCTGCTTCTCACGCCTGAATCTTCTTACCTGTGAGGTGGGAGGCCTGGCCTTAAATTCTCTTTTAACAGTAAACTCTCAGGGCTTGAGAGTGTGTGAATCTTTCTTTCAGTCCTGGCAGAGGTCTTAGAACTCTGGAGCCACCAATTACCTGTCACTAAAGGGTGTCGCCTAGGAATTCTAATGTTTTTCAGCATTTTAAAACTAACGGAATCTTTACTCACAAAAGGGCCACTTCAGATGACTGCTTATACTGCAATTTGATAATGGAGTTTGGGAGAAAGAAATAATGGAAGAATGTTAATTGTGGTACAAAATATGAGGAACTGATCAAATACACCAATCTCATTTTATATAGGTGGAAAATGAGAGCTGGGGAAGAGTAATTATTTGCATAGGACACCTAACAGGTTAAGAGGCAGAACAGGACCAGAGTCTCCAGTTTCCTAATACCCTGGTTCTGAGCCTTTCTGGCTCCCACCTCCTCTCGTCTGCCTGACACGTGTGCTCACATCCCTCACAGAGGACAGGACCTGGGCCTTTGAAATGTGTTCTAGCTTTATTTTCTCTGCACAGTACAAGGCAGGTTTGAGCCAACAACTTTCCCTTGTAGCAGTTCGAGATATCGGTGACTTGGAGTGTGAACTGAGCCAGTAGCTCTAGAGGGGTGATGCTGATTTCCTCTGCTTCCAGTACACTGGGGATGGGGTACACCAGACCAAGCTGGGAAGCTCCATGCTTCCTGTGGGATGAGCACGATCTCCGCAACTTGAAAGGCAGCTACTTGAAGGCATACGGAAAGTTACAGTTTCGGTCCCCAGCTGTGACTCCAGTCAGCTACTGTGGGCTCTTAGGCAAGTGACCTCTCTGGGCCTCAGTTTCTTCCTTTATGGGGTGGGGGCGGTGCTGGATGCGTGTCAAAGGCCTTTCAACACCGTTCCAGGTGTGCTCACCCTTCCTTCAGAGCTGCTCAAGTTTCTTAGTCCTGAGATGGGTATGTCAGTCCCAGTCCCAGAAACACTGGGTCTGTGTGTCCTGTACACTGTGGCCACCCACATCTTCCTGAAGGACAGCCTTACTCAGAACGCCCCTGCTCAAACTCTGGTGTGTCAGTATGGCTAACTGGGAAAAAAAAAAAGCTGCCATTCTTGCCTGGCATTGGAACTTCCAAGACTTGGCCCCCTCTCCAGCTTTGTGTCTTGCCATTGCTTGGCAGAGCAGGTGTTTGGAGGTAGAAAGCCAAGTGTCAATCCTAATTGCACCTCTTTTCAGTTCTGTGATTTTAGGTCGAACCTAGTTTATTCCTTTAAGGATCAAACGAAACACCATTAAAATCGAATAGGTATTCAGTGAATGTTAGCTTGCTATCTCTCTAACTAAAACATGTTCTTCGAGAACAGAAACTGTATGTACGCTTCTCTTACATCTTCAATGTGCTTATCACAAAGGCCTCTACAGAGCATTGCTAAATATTTGCTTGATGAATTGATGCTGTGTCCATTCCAGAAGTTCTTAGATGAGCTAAAGCATTTTTCTCTCTTGCAGTTTGCCCAGATGGTGGCCGTCTACAAGACACTGGGAGGAGAAAAGTTCCCACTCATCGAGCAGACGTACTACCCCAACCACAAAGAGATGGTAGGTGGCTGAATCTCTGCTACTCCCCCTTGAGCTTCGCTATATGCTGACTATAGGGCTCTACTCAGGACTTTGGCTTCTCATCCCCCAGAGGTCCCCAGTGGGATCTTGGTAGGGCTGGGACAGCTGGGTTTTAGCTGCCAGCCTCATTTTCAAATTCTAGAGACAGAACAGAGTAAAACCAATGGCAATCAGACTGAGAGAGTAATAGCCTGTGGGCCACCAATCAGATGTCAGAGTTGGGGTGTAGCTCTGGCTCTGCCATGTGTCGCTGGGCAAGTTCTAATAATCCTTCACTGAGTGCCAGTTTCCCAACTGGACAGTGGGCATAATCTTTGCTGGCCAGGAATTCCAGTATGTATGCACAAAATGGAAGTGATAGTTTTAAGTTGCCGCCTTCTGCAAAGTGTGAAGTGCTCCTGAGATCCACGGTGCTGTTCCAGGTGAATCCTAAGCCTTCTCTCAGTTCACCCTAGAAGGCTGGGAGGAACAGAGAGATGGCATGGCTGGTTGATAAGAAGGCTGTTGGTAATGGTTTTACTCCAGGGTGATCTGGAGCTCAAACTCCTGCCATCCTTTCTGTCCCTTCTGCCCAAGGCTGATGTGACAAGTTGGGGACCCTGCTTAACCTACCAAGGTCCTTCTAGTGTTGTGCTCTGACACAGAGCTTACTTGTTCCCCTTCCCACTGCTTTCTCCTAAGGTCGTCTTCACTCACAGCATTTCTGTGAGTCCACAGCCGCCTTTTGCACGTCCTATATGGCCCCGCACCAGCAGTCCACACAGAGGAGATGAACACATCCTTTGCTTTGAGAACTGCCTCTGTCATCTTTGCCTGAGCTTCCCCGAGGAAAGGCTCTAGAATGTTAGGTTCTTGTCCTTAAAAAAAATCCTAGAATATCAGGGCTTTCCCATTCAGGGAAACTCAAGAAAGCTTATGGAGGCCAAGGAACCCTTGGATCCTGTGGCAGAGACCTTTGGGAGTCCAGATCACAGTGGCAAGGGGCCTGAGCTGAAAGTGGAGAGCTTTCTTGGCACCAGAGCTGGCTTTTCCTGCTGTAACATCCAGCAGGGCTGACCACTGGGAAACTGCATCAAATGCAAGCAGTTTTCCTCTGCCAGCACCCTTGCCCCTAGCAGTCCAGATATTTTGCTCCTGTCCTGAAATTTGTCCTCAGAAAGAGCATCTCTCTGAGATGTCCAAAGCTGACATAGAAGGGATTTCAGCTCTACTAGAGAAAGGCTTTTTTTTTGGGGGGGGGCTTAAAAAACATTTGAAGTAGGAATGAAGACATTAGTAATCTAAAGAAGACAGAAGAGAAGCCCCCGTTTGGGACAGTTAACATGGAGGAATATGTTTATTATACAGAAGGCCTCCTCATGGCCACAGAGTATGCTGCAGGACTAGACCTTCACCAGGAATGGCGCTGAGGGGATGCGGTGCCAGGAGGGAGGTTAGGGTGTCCTCGCTCTCGGAGGAGTGATTCTGGGCCCCGAGCAGAGAAAAATGTAGCAGAGGTTTAGGACCGCAGAGAGGAGGAGCAGAGGATGCACAGCTTGTTGTAATTTATTCTGCATTCCTGACAGCCAACCTGTTTATGGTACCATTCACCTACCCTCTGCGTTGCATACCACCAAGTCTCACCATCGCTGTGTATAGCATTCACCTCTTCTCCTCTCTCAGGTCAGTAAAGGGAAAGGAAAAGATTTTTCTGGGGAAAAAGGGAAGAGTTCTGGCTTTGAAAAACAAACTAAGCTAGAACCAAAACTTTCAGTAACTAGTATGAGCTAGATTAATGGGATTTGGGAGGAGGAGAGAGGCCCGAGGGTAGGACAGAAAAGTCAGGCTGCCCTTGACAGGCTGTGGGCTGGGATCTGGGGTGCAAGCTGTAACACGCCCCTTCCCGCCATGATGCTGGCTGGGCCGTCCACTTGGCTGGCAGCAATAGGGCAGGTGGTGGTAGAGCTCCACATGAAGGAGAACTGGCTTGGTCCTCAGGACTCTTGAATCCCATGGGGGTCAGTAGTTCCTACTAGGGCTGGATAATGTCAACAAACTCCTTCCTGAGGGGCAGGTGGCCCCGGTACCAGCTGCAGGTGCCATCAACATGCTTCATGCAGACGTAATGCTGGGCCTGGTACCCGTAGAGCTTCTGTTCCAGCAGCCAGTCTGTCCACAGGCACTCATTGGGGGCCGAGATGGTACAGGGCACCATGTAGCAGGTGGTGATCTAGAATCATGGCCATATGCATAAAAGTGAGTAGATGTCTTTCCTTTTCCATTGCTGCCTTTTAGGCTCCTACATATCCTCACGGCCCATCTCAGCTGCCCCGTCTTAGGAAGCCCTTCATCCCCAGACTTCACCTGAATTCTCCCTCCCCATGCTCCTGGAGTATAGTGTCACCCCTCTGATGTCATCTCTGCAATCAGGCCTGGTGGTTCCTACTCCACCACTGACCTTGAGCAAGTTACTTCACTTCCCAGAGCTTTAGTTTCTTTACCTTGGAGTAAAAATCTTAATTCTTCACAAATTTGTTATAGAGACTAAATTAAATTTTAAAAACTCATTATTACAGGGCCTGGAAAGAATAGACATCTTTTAAGTGTGGCTGTGTTAGTGCCATCTCAGTCTGCCTTATTTGATGGCCACTTTCCCAACCAAAATGTAAGTTCTTTGAGGTCAGGGATTGTGGACCTGTTTCTGTGTTCTGACTTCATACAGTGGCTGGTCATGCAGAGCTCAAGTACAGTAGAGTAAATGAATCAAAGAATGCCTGAGGCTACAAGACTCAAGCCCCTTCCCCTGCCCCAGAGACCTTGGAAAGGGATCCCCCTTACATGGCAGCCGCAGTTCAGATGGTAGTGATGATTCAGACTCTCCCTCTGCACCAAGGACAGGTCCTCCCAGGGCTCGATGTAGTTGCACAGGTGGATGAAAACTTTCCCATCACCGAGGACCTGCCCTTCATGGGGAGATGGAAGACAGTGTGGCATCAGTAGTCTGCTACTAGAGCTTCTGGGCCCAAGTCCTAACAGAGGGCTGGGCATAGGCCCCCCAGGGCCTGGCAAAGGGCTGGGCATGCAGGTGAGGTGCTTGGGAACAAGGTAGATATCAGAGGTTACAAAGGTCTGGTGGGTCAGTCCTGGGAATGGCGAGCTCAATGGAGCCCAGCTTGTACCTCTCTACCCCAGGCCAGCACAAGTGTATGTCCTTGGAGTTGGAGAGTCTGTCCCTCCTCGCAAGCCATGCCTAGTGTGGGACTGCTGAGACTGTGACTTGTTCCTGAACGTCTCCTCTCCTGCCCAAGGCCTGGCAGTTTATAGTAGGCGGTCATTCATTGTTGGATGGATGGATAGCAGAAGTTTTCCACCTGTTCTCCCCTCCTGCAGTGCTTTTTATTTTCCTTGCTTTCCTTCTAAGTACTCTTCATCTCTTTGGGCCAGTGTAGACCCCACTTCCACAGTGCAGCTTCCACGATTGTTCACAGTCTCACAAACCCTTCTGTTCCCTGAGCTCCAAAATAATTTACTGTTGCGTTCATTCATTATGTAGCCATTTCATATAGGGAAGGTTTACCTGGGCCCACATCATGGGGGAGAGAACTGTGTTAGACCCCAGGCTCCCACTAGGCCCTTGGCAGAGGGCAGAGATGAACCCATAAGGACCAGTTTCAGGGGGCAGATTTTGGCTCAAAATGCCAAAAATCTAGTGCCAATTAAAATTGTTTCAAATTGGAACTTGTTGCCCTGGGTGGGGAGAGCAGCCTGCCTTAACCTAGTGAAGTGGAGGCCATGACCACTGTGAGGACTCCTGTATCAAAAAGAAGGTCACCAAGGCTCCTCTGGACGTCATCACTACTCTTGTCTCTTTGGAGGCCAGTTGCTGGTTTCTAACTTACCAGTCAAAAGATACTGCCTCTGGCTGTTGGCTTCTAGTTTCACACCGCAAAGAGAAGAGTCGAAAGGTGTGTAGACGTACTGAACATCCTTGACTTTCTCAAACCCTTTAAACATCTGAAAAGCAATTACAAAAAGTAGTGAATGTAATTTATGTATTAAGAGGCAAAACCTTCTCATTTCTCTAAACATATTAAGCAAAAGTGCAGTTCAGGAAGTAATGCACACAGATGACTACTGGTTTGTTTTGTCTTAAAAAAAAAAAAATCTAAACCTTGGCTTTTTCCTGTGAGAGGGGAGGTCCTCCAGTGGCCCACACGCAGGCAGCTGTGGGACCAGTGAGACACCGAGGCCCGCCCTGCACTGTCTGGATTCATGGGCCCTGCCCCCACCATCTCTCCCCTTCCACAGCACTAGGGAGCCAGACTGCCTGGGCAGGCCAGGCAGTCCTGCCCCTCTCAAGCGCACGCTCCATCCCCTCCAGGGGCTGTTGCGGGGGAACACCCTGTCCTGTCCCCATGTACCTTTATCTGTTTGATTTCATACCGGATCATTTTTTGAGTGTCAGCAGGATCTGCACTGGCAGGAACTACCTTCTCACTGGAGATTTTGGCCCGGATCACTGTGGAGGAAAAGGGCAGAACTTCAGCCCTTGTGGGCGCAGTGCAACTGCGAAACACATGCTCTGGGGTCCCTGGAGATTGTTGCTAGGCTCTTGGTTTAGGTGTCACTGGGGTATAAACAGTGTGCTGTGTCTGCACATGGGACCTGGAGACACCTGCTCCACAGTGCCCAAGGTCTTCCCCTCTGTGCTCATCTGGCCCCTTGAACTTGCTCACTCGGAAGACTCTGGTTCTCCACAGTGCCTGAGCAGTGGCAGGGTAGGAGTCCAGGGCTGGAGAGAGGAGGAACCTCGACTGAAGGCCCTGGTGTGGGCTCTTCTGTTCATTGCCGCAGGCCTCAGAGCTCACCCAGAGCAGATGTTAGTAACGTTTTTTGCATTCAAGCACACCTGACCCTGCATTGAGGATGCCCATCTCTTGCCGTGTGGGCATCTGTCAGAAACTGCATATGAAGGCCCTGTGCTAGGCATGAGGCCACAGATGTCTGCAAGACCAGGTCTCAGGCCTGTGGAACTCTTGGTCTAGTAGGGACACGAGTGCAAAGGACACTAGCATAGCATAGTGGGAGCAGGGACGTCAGAGATGCTGGGGTTTGGAGAAGAGCGGCCTGGAAGGATACGTTTAGGGGCCTGGGGAAGGGCTTCCAAGTGAGGAGAAAGAAGGGGCAAAAGGTATGTATTAGGGCACAGTGGCCCCTCAGTTCCAGCGCTGGACAGAGAGCTTCATGGCCATTCCGTCTCTTCCTCTACTCCACCCTAGTCCAGTAGTAATGACTGGACAGCCAGAGACACCTGATGGACGCTGTGCCCCGGCTGCAGTAGGACCTGGGGGAAGGGTCGCTACAGAGGCCCCTGACACAGTCTCCCTCCCTTACAGACCAGACTGCTATGACATCCCCACATCAGCCTCCGCAGGAGGAGCTCAGATCCTCCCTCCTCCCCAGTCTCCTAGCCTGCAGGTCATCCTACTCCATCATCCCCTCCTCTCTCTACCCCTCTGCTCCCCCGCCCCTCCCTTGC